AGAATATATTACAATTATACTTAAGAGTATAGAGTATAAAGCATACAGGTAATTAAGTTTATAGAATGTAGTATATTGCTACTTTAAATAATAGTATAAAACATTTGTTATTAAAGAAAAAAGTAAAAAGGTTACAGCTCTCTTACTTCACTGCTAAACGGAATATATGTAATTTGAGGTTTTTATTAAATAAATTTAATAGTTTTTCTGATGTACCGTAAACAAAAGGGCATTAATAAATTTATTATAAGCAAAGTTTAAATATTGTTATATTATTCACATGTGGGATTTCTTCAACTCCAAGTATCCATGTTAAACTGTTCTGTTTTAAACATGCACCTATTGTTTCCCAAATGCGAGACCGAGACGAGTCTTGGTCTTGCAAACTCAGTCTTGGTCATGATCTTGGTCTTGCGCAAGAGTTTCGTATAGAGATATTACTGTAATTTTTTTAATTGGAGAGACCCAACTATGCCCGAATGAAAAATTAGAGGAGTTAAATGCAAAAGTGTATTGGTTATACCAATTATTAACATCTTGTAACTAAGATTGTCAAGTATTAGTAACTATTTTGCCTTGATTTTTATTAAAGAAAGCGATTTTTTTTTTACCAGTCCTGGTCTTGGTCTTGCAACATTTAGGCGGTCTTGGTCTTGGTCTTGCAAAGTGCAAGGCTAAGACCAATTTTAGACAGCGCTACTTGCATCCAACACAAAATTTGCTAATTGAATTTTAGACAAAATGTTTAATATTTGATTTATAGTTTCACTGATTTGTGGTAGATATTATCGTTTCATAAATTTCCAAATAATAAAGTAATAACGCATATTCCTGAAAATAAGGTTAACAGCCGAAAGTGGCTAGTCATGTTGAATTGGTGTCCATAAATGGTGATAAGTGAAATTCTAGAATATTTCCGAAAATTCACCACTTGTAGCATTTTCCAATGCCTTCTAGATACCTCTGTTCCTTTTATACTTTATATATATACCATGACCAATTATTGAAGGCACGGCTGAGGAAGAGTGAAGGAAAAGAAATATAGGGGAGAAGAGATGGAGGGCTTTAATCACATGGTCACGGTATACCTACAGCTGCAGAATTTATGATATGCAAATTTTATTTGCCATTTCAGGTGTAAGAAATATAATCGAATAAATTTTATGAAATGATAATTGTATTAATGGAAATGTAAATATTTTTTCCTCAATGCTGTCCAAATAAACCAGAATATTGAGTAAGGGTCAATATCAAAGAGAACAGTTACAATAATTTAAAATTGTAAAATACCACAATACAAGACAATTTATAATCTTGGTTGACTAGAGCAAGAAAATGTGATATTAGTGAAACATAAAAACTCAAAACTGTTATAAAACCAACGAATAATGTGATGGTTATATTTTTTCTTACAAGCAGTGTAGTATAAGACCCCTTAAAACTTATAAATGGTTTTGAGATCAAAAATAAATTAAAACCAGTGAGAAAATAACTCAAATGAAAATTCTAATTGAAAGAGATAAAACGAAAATAAAATTGATAAATATACACTCTATTATTATAAATGTCTTCGTAGAAGACTATTAATTCAACTCATGAAAATAAATCTTGTTACTAAAAAAAAAGTTTGCTAAAGAAGAACTTTGATGATGACAGTAACAAATAATATTAATAATGGAAATAATCAAACATTTTCAATGAACAATAGTTTAAAACATTCCTAGACAAGATAGAACAAAAATATTTACGGGATAAAGTAAAAACAATAATATCATAAAGGCATAATATTACAATAAAAAATTGATGAAAACAGATTAAGTTAAAACAAATTTTTTATATTGTAATGCCTCATGAAGGGTATGAAGGCATTTTCGCTAACCATACTAAATGTTTTAGCTCAATGATAATTAAAGCAAAGAACATAATAGATCATATAAAAATGGATCATAATCAAAAGTTACTAGTTTTGACTTGATTTTACTATGAGCACCAGGATTTTTTTCCGACGATATGAAATCCTCGATATATCCGTTAAATTGTCGAATGGGAGACAGACGGACTTTGCAATGCCGCATGAAGGCTTTACAATTTAAATGTTCATAAAACTTCGAAAAGCTACTCAAAATTCGAAACCAAAATAAGATTGGCCTGAACCAAAACATCTAAATAAATATATATATATCAGTTCGTTCAAAATATAAAACATATACAAAATAGATCAACAAATAGCATAAAGTTTATAACTACCATTTCGTCAAAACAGATCATATTTAATTTTATTAAACCGCTTTCAAAAGATATGACTACATCATTGTCTCCTTGAGTCATATCGTGAATAAATGAACAATCATGGGAAATAAGAATTATGAGTGGGAAATATTAGAACCTTTATGAAGAGTCGGGCTAAACCTTTTTTTCATAGCTCCTGGATTATTTTATGTTCTGTAAAATAATAACAAATTGAAGAAAAATGTCATGATATTTTATAAAATTGAACAGAATATGATGTACCTATCTCACCCATTGTTTCTATTTTCAGAAACATCATTCCTCAGTTCGAAAATTAAGAAACGTACACACAGTAATTGAATAAAATTATTTATGGATAGAATGATTAGCTACGTAGAATACATATACAAATATATCCTTATAATTAAGTTATGGATCAACAAGGAGTATCAATAAAAGCTTTTTATAATATACCTACTATAATGTATTTTACTTCCAGATAATAAAAGAAAAATTAAGTCTGGAAGAGAATAATTTTCATACATAATTGTGCTATGATAATTTGTACAAATATGTGAAAACCTATATTCAATACTTCAGAGAAAATTAAATGATAACTGGATTATCCAAAATACATAATCATCAAACAGTAATGATTATCTTGGAAAAAAAAGTGATTTATTTAAAAACAACTAATAAATCTCATCATCCAATGATATTTTATTTATGAAATTTGATATTTTTTTAATATTATTAGTCATAATTCATCTAGAATAAAGCAATGATATTAATGGTGCAAAAATGTAATGACAAATGTGACCAAATGATTACAAATTTAAAAAAATCTAAACAAAGATGGTCAAAATTATGTGAAAACGATTGATCCATATTCAGAATGATTCTGAAAAGTTGACTGAAAATTTGAATAAATAATATCATTCATCTACACTAAAAATTAAATTTAAGTCTACGAAAATTGTCTAGGTAACATAAATTATGAAAGCCCAACTATTTTTAAATACAAAAAAAACAAAAAAAAAAAAAAAACACTGGATTTCCATTTATGTTTAAATTCCATAATTATCAGTTTTAAATGATAGAATATGATTATAGAAAATGAATCTTAGAACTACGTTGAATGAAGAAGGGACAGTATCATGATTTTGGCCATACATTTCATAAAAATACAAAAAAGAAGGAAATAATAAAATAATGACACTATGTTAATATTTATCTTATTTTTTCTATAACATGGCATAATATGATGCGTAAAAAAAAACATTTTTAAAACTCCAAAATTTATAATAAAATATGTAGATAGAATAATACCAAAATGTCAGAACATTACTTTTGAATTTATAATTTCTTGATTTTAGTTCAAAGAGCGATAAACCTATTTCAAAATATTTTAATAGACATTACATAAGAAAGGTATTCAGTACTTACGATAAATGTTAAACTATAATTGAGTCATAATACAATTAGAATATTAAAAATACAATAAAAGTTTCTATTTAAGAGTAGAATCAACTATCAACATTTATGTTTTCTATTATAAATCGAAGGATATCGCATGACCAATTGACACAATGGAATCGAAATGATTAAATGAAACACTGATATCAGTTAAACATCAAACATGTTAAAACATTAAAATGTAACGTCCAAGTCTATGCATTTGATATATATTTAGAAATTTCAAAGTTAGAACTCGTTCTCATAACTCTACCCCCAAAAAGAGGTTTTTTCTTTTCCACTGTTTGAGGGATTATTAATACTTATTAGGAAAAGAAATCCGATGGGAAATTCTCATAGTTAAGAACAATGCTGCCGTTTTATATTGACTATTGTCTGCGTCATGTTTTCCATATCAAATATATGTAAAAAGGGACATGCATAATGTTAATATATCTTCGTTCACACCATTCATCTGTATTTCCAAAGAAGAAAATAAAACCATGTTTCCTGTTGAAAATTATACATACTAATATTACTTACCTAAATTAAGTGTATAAGGACATATAAAAAATCAATTTAATAATGGATAGGCAAATATAATACATCGTGTATGATAGATATAATATAAGCAATTAGACCAACTTGTATTGATAAAGTTAGCAAAAATAAAAACGATTAAATCGAATCCTGCAAAGTCTAATAACATTTGTAAAATTGCATATAAAAAAATTGTTTTCTATCTATATGTGTTGAACCATGGGAAGTATTCAATTGATACTTTATAAGCAAATTATTTAAAAATGAGCACGATAAACGGTTTTGAGTAAAATTTAATCATTCACATTCACTACAGATATTTCATATATATATATATATATATATATATATATATATATATATATATATATATATATATACATATCTATATCTGTAAGAACATTCAAGACATACACAAAAAATTGATACATCAACAATGATTGATATTAATATCAAAAAGTAATTATCATTTCTACTTCTAAATCTTCCATGTTCAGAAAATAATTCAGATAAAATATTGTAAGCAAGTTAGTTCTTAATAGTAGCTGAAACTTTGAAATTGCAGACTCATGCTCATGTGAAATTTACGTCGGGTGTAGGCGCTCTGAATATGTAAAAATATGAAATTTTACAGCAAATTTTATCAAATAAATGTATTTACACCGTAATGTATCCATATACTCTCTTTAAACAACAATATTTCTTCCATGAAACACTTAATGAGACAAGACATTAATTCCAAATTCAATTAAAAAGTTTTTAAAAAAATAGCTTACCTTATGAAATATACGCTGATGCCTAAAGCATTTTCCAATATTTTTGTCGCCCTAAAACACACTTGTCTTCTCAGCGTTCTTTCTGCCCTTACTGCTTCTGAGTGAGGAAAAACTCCTGCGCAAAGGTAAAACAAATTCTGGGAAATGCCGAAGAAAAACAGAACAGTTGAAAATAATAAGAGCTTAAGGCACTAGCTGAAGGGATGGGTTAAGTGTACTTTGTTAGGGTTTTAAAAATAAAATATATTCCGAAAATCACGCACACTGACACACGCACACACCTGAGGACGAGTTACCTGCGGGCAGGTAAAAATGGCGGATACAGCTGCGCGCGCAGGCGGCTTTCACCCAGCACCTGGATGAGAGAGGGGGCAAGGGTTGCTTACCTACCTCGCACCGTTAGATTCCTTTCTATTTGTCCACATAATTTTTCTTTTTTTAAATTAAGGTGAAACAAAGAACCAATGGTTCAATAGGGATACAATTTATCGGTAGAATGTAATATAGAATAAAACAGAAAAAAAAATCTGAGGCGAAGCCCCATCAAAATTACAGAGGTAGGTAGGTATACGAAATAAAAACGTTTTTATCTAGCAAATATATTAGAATAAACAAAAAGGAATTACATTATAAAAAAAAATCTAGTAAAACAATTAACGTTTGTTAAAAAAAAAAAAAAAAGGGAAAAAATACATCCATTCCTTGGACGAAAAAATAAAAATAATTATTCATATCTCTTATTAAAAACGTTGTTTTTTTTATATGTACATAAATATGTGTATATATTTTTTTATGATAAACATCATATGTTAACCCAAGATAGAGTAAAAAAAATCCACCCAAAAATTTAAAATACTGAATAAATATAAATATATTGTATATTTTCATTTTTATAATTATAGAATGTGTTGACACTATGATGTACAATAAAAACTATACTGAATACAGTTCGGTACAATATATTTATATATTTCATAAAGTTATCATGACTACTAAATATAAACACGTGTTGGGAAAGAAAAACACAAAAGTTATCCCTTACAGCATTATTATTCCTATATATATATATATATATATATATATATATATATATATATATATATATATATATATATATATATATATATATATATATTTTTTTTTTTTTTTTACAGGCCTTCAAGACACAGGCGGATCTACGGGGAGGGCTTTCGGGCTGAAGACCCCCCCCCCCCCCCCAAAAAAAAATGATAAAATATAACCAAGTCTTGTGGAATAGGATTTAAAAAGATTTTTAAAAGTATTATTTTTCTTGCAATTAGATTTAATAGGACTGCAAGAATCACTTAAACGCCATTTCATCTAGGCAGTTAGTTTCTTTCTTTTTCTTAGTGTAATTTTCGTTATATATATAAAGCTTTCAGACTGAAGCCCCCAAAATTAATTCCTGTATCCGCTTGTGCTTCAAGGGCCACTTAAACAACATTTTATATAATTTCATTATTTTACGTCTAGAATAAATAAATTAAATTAAAATCCTGAATAAATATAATTATATGGTAAATATAATTTTTTTTTAATATAATCTTTTTCTTTTTTCGATAATGATAAACAAATTGGTGTTAAGTTATACGGTAAATATTTTATTGAAAACTGTTTGAACTTGTGGAACACACATAAAGTTATTAGGCCATATATATATATAATATTCGAAATTTCAATAGTTATAAATTTATAGAAATTCAAAAAGTTTTCTCAATAATGAGTAACAGATCTAAATAAAATGAAAATGTCATCTTATGTTAAGGCAAGGGTAAGGATAGTGCCTTGCATGAGTCGATCAAACATATAAATTTGTCAAAACTAGTAAAAATAATAAAATCATATTTATATTTATTCAACCATTGGCTTTTTGTTTTTCGAAATCTTGACGGAATGGTTTAGAGCGACCAATTTCACAATAAATATAAATTAACAATAAATATATTGTATATATATATATATATATATATATATATATATATATATATATATATATATATAATAAATATAATATAAAAGGAAATCGCAAAATTATTTCTTCCACTAAGAAAAGTAAGGAAATTGGATGATTAGCTATATTGATTAGATATGATTAGATATATATATATATTGGATGATATAAAAAAATAATAATAGAAATTACCGATTAAAGAATGAATAAATAATATCGTTATCTTTTAATTTCTGGATAATTGACTACTTGCGGTGTCTATCAGAAACGATGTCAAATGTTAGGCACACTAAGTAATTTATTCTTGATATTTATATATTTTTTTAAATTTTGCAAGAAATTTTAAATGTTGTTCGCAATTATTTCAGTAATAAATTAATATCATTTGTAGAAGCGATAAAAACCCTCATTGTTTCGGTATTTTACGTCGACTACCATGTGAGATTTTTTTTTCCCAGGAATAATATCCCTGGGCCCAGTAAACAATAAATATGTAACGCTACATAGAGACGTTACATAATTAATATTCAATGTTATTTATCATTTACATTATTATAAATTTTACAAAGTTTGACTCTAAGTAACTGAATTTTCTTAATTAATTGCTTAATTTTAAAGCAAGATTTTCTTCCTTATTTGTTTTTAATTATCAGAGGGACTGAGAATTTTACCAGAGGTCACATATCATCATTTCATTACATCAACTCAAATAAATTACTAAATTGAGTTTTAAAACAATCAGCAAGCAGAAGCAATTTATTTTGTTTAACTTGACAAAAAAAATTCACCTTATTGGGTAAGTGCGTACGAAGTATCTGACAGACGCAGAAATCGTCATTCGAACAGGAGGGCTTGTGTGGCAAAAGTAAAATATTTTGTTTTTAAAAGGCCTTCCTTCCCCCCCCCACCAAAAAAAAAAAAATAAAATAAATATTTTTTTTTTTGGACCATATTTGTTCTGTGAATGGTCAGAGCTAAATATTAAACAATCGAAATATGTAATCTTTTTAAATTATAACTTATATACAGGTACTAAACATAACCACGTGCTAAGAAATAAATAAAAAATAATACCCCTAAAAGCATAATCATTATTCATACAACTAATATTATTTGTTAATAATTTTTTTTTTTTTTTTTTACAGGCCTTCAAGGAACACTTTAAAACCATGTCATATAGTATCTTTCTTTTTCGATCAGTGTAATTATCGTAACAATTAAAAAAAAAAAGTTCATACTTTAAGTATGTAAAGTTATTTTCTGGCAAAAAAATAATCGAATTAATGACTCGTTATATCAAAAATAATGCGGATGATTCGCTTTATCGCCTACTACAATAAATGTAGGTGATGCGTTGTGCCATGCATACTAAATGTCGATGGACGCACACACAGCTGTCTCGTTCAGTGGTGCCTACATTCGGCTTTTTCCGGAATTCTCCGGAATTTTAAAGCCTACAGGCTTTTTACTTTTTTCTAATATCTTGTATTTCTTCGTATTTCCGAGAAACAAAACTTTTGAAAAATCATCCTAGTTCATTTATTAAAATTAAACATTAAAAAGAAAACTTATGAATTTACAATACTTAAGTTTAAAATAGATTTTTTTTCATTAAGATATTTTAGTTAAAAATCACTTGATAGAATTTACTGTTTTAAAAAAAATATATATATCACAGCTTTTTTTTTTTTTAAAGTGAGAGGAGAGGCTGTTAAACATTTAGAATTTGAAAAACTATTTTTCTATAATTATTATTTTCATAAATAAAAATTTGTTTACGTATTTAAAAAAAAAATTAAGTAAAGAAAATAGAAATATAAAATTTTAGTATAATTTTTCAGAATTTTGTGTTGTTTTTTTTTACGAGTGCTATTACAAATTTAAGCTTCAATAAATTGGTGTCATTGTAGACTCATATTACAATTTATTAAAAATTAATTTTCCTAGAAGCCACATTTAAACTTATGTCAACGAAAATAGAAGAGAAAGGTGCTATATTTAAAAATAGGCGTTATTTTACATTCACGGTCAAACTCGAACATTCTCCTGCATTTTTGGTGTCCAATCTCCGGCATTTGGGATTACTTCGGTTGGTACCACTGGTCCAAGTTCCCACATGAATAGCTATTTAGTTGTGGAGTCAATTTTTTAAATATTCAGATATATCAAAGTTAAAATGTCTGATACTATTTTAGATATTAACAATCCTTAAAAAAATAAAAAGAAATATTCATTTAAAAAATATTTTATTCATTTAGAAGTATTCTAGACAACACCGCTGAGCCAAAAAATCTTTTCTGAGAAAAGAAATGAATTTTCGTTTTTCGTTTCCATTTTGACTTGCAATAATATGAGAGGATCCAGTAAATTGCTAAATCAGACTCAAATTTCATAGCAAGTTTCTATATGCACCACTAATGTCCAGGAAAACACCTTATTTATTACTTGAAAATAGTGGGGGAAATTACAACCATTTTCTCATATGATGTTTTAATTGTTACTATGCAATTATTAGATTCATTAGATTAATTTATGGAGTCCCCAGGCGCTCCCACGTCTCCAGTTGCTATGCCAAGTTGAAGTGGCTCTATCCAGTTTTCCGACGGCAATATTTCCTAGGTGTATTCCTTTTCCGAACCTTTACAACCAAAAAATCTTCTTGATTTCTTGCTCTCTTTGCTACTCTGTTTATTCATTCAACACGAGATCCCAATCCTCAAATTCGTTTATTCCTTCTCATTGAACTGTTTCCTTTGAAAAATACTTCGTCATACGTGCTACCTCGTTTTGGAATTCTCTACCAACCTATTTATGGAAATTCTCATCCTTGGTTATCAATCTTCCGAATATATGTAAAATAAAGTAATATTTTGTACTTTAGAGATGTCAGTTGCACTATACCGATATCCTGCAGATATCTATGTATGTGTCATATTGCTTATTTGTACAAAACTCACCCTTATGTACTCATCTTTAAATTCATATGTCTACGTCAAGATCATATGTTTACTACATTGTCTTTAGTTTTAATATTAAGAATTTATAATATTATGAAAAATTTACATGTTTCTGTTTCTCGTCTAAAATTGTTTTAGACGAGATTTCCAACGAAAAAGTTCATTTGATGCATGGGCCGATTTTGAATGGAAAAGACCAATTTAGTGTTTTTCTTTAGGTGGTCATGTTTTTATTGAATAAGAAGAAATTGCACAAAGACTATCCAAGATAATTAAATTCTAAGTACACCATCGTAAATTAGACATTTTTTTGAGATAACAGTGATTAAATTTACTAAGGCCAATGATAAAAGGGTCTAATACGATTGCTGTACTGCTGCGTACGAATCG